TAATATAGTTTAAATATGATTTTAAATTGCTCTATATGTGTACTTGAATTGATTAATTTTTTGCAGTCAATTTAAAAGTTCAACAAAGTAGGGAGGGCTTCAGTAAGGTATTTTTCTTTTCTTATCACTTACATAAGTATTACGCATTGAGTCCTAGTGGTAATAAGAGTGCTCTATGTATAATAACAGAGCTAAAATTTATAGTAATAATAAATATACATTTTGTTCTTTACCAATAAGAAAACTCTGAATTTCATGCACCTGGCAATTCATTGTGCATGAAACTGAGTTATGCTATCAGTGAGGAAAAAAGTTGAATTTATTATTTGTGTGTGTGTGTATGTATGTATGTATGTATATATATATATATATATATATATATATATATATATACATTGTGTGTGTGTGCGTATGTATTTTTAGGTTTGGTCGGTGGAACAAGCAGATGATGATTACAACGGATGAAGAGGGCCACACTTAACGGACATGCTACAGAAGGCACCACTCAAAATTTTAACAGCAGCAGTCTATTGAGGTTTCATAATTGGATTCTGCATGTCTCATTTCATATGTGCTACAAAGATGATCTGATGGAGATGTTGACTTTCTGTACACAAACAGCACACTTCAGAATGGGATCACACATATATCGACAGGATGAGGGCTTAGCAATGGGCTCACCATTATTACCGGCAATGGCAAATATATACATGGAATACTTTGAGGAAATGGCATTAGAATCTGTATCTCTAAAGCTAACTCTATGGTTACGGTACGTAGATGACACCTTCATATTCCGGCCACACCAGGAAGATGTTCAGGACTAATAACATTGCAGATTCTTCTTTGGATTTTATCAAGAATCTCTAAATGTATAGCAGGTGCAAGAAAAATTGTCTAGCATGACATATGGAACCAAATTTCTTAGCTGCAGACTTAGCAATTGATTGAATATAATCTTTCCACTTCATGTCAGTGGAAAATGTTAGACCAAGAAGGCAGAATGAGTCACTTTCATGGAGGTTAACATAATCCGTGATGATGGAAGGCAGAAAGGAGTCTCTCAGATGATTGATAGAGAGCAGCCTCATTTTGGAAGTGTTAAAATTAACAAGCCATTCCTTACTCCACTTAACAACCTACTGTAGGTCATTTTCTAGATCAGCTGTCAATTTGACTGTATCATACTGATCAGATTTACTATTAAAGCAGACGTAAATAGCTGTATCATCAGTATACATACCATGTTAAGAACTGATGCTATCAGGAAAGTCACTAATGCAAATTACTAAGAATGTAGGTCCAAGAATAAGGGGACACATGAAATTAATGCAGAAAGACCTGGAAGATTGGCCATACAGGATAACTTTCATTTATTGATTTGATAAGACTGAATCAGTTCAAAAATTCTTCCAGAAATACCAAAACCTTTCAACTTGTGAAGAAGGCCATCATACCAAATCATGTCAAATGCTTTCAAGATGTCCAAAACAATGGCTGAAGTTTCACCATTCTTATCTAAATCTTGATAAACTCTCAGCAATAATCGTTAAAACATCAGCAGTTGACATAGAGAAACAGAAGCCATATTGCTTATCTGAAAAAAGATGCTGCAATGTGAGATGCATGATCAATTCAGAGTTGATTAGAGCTTCTAGTACTTTGCCAAAAAGAGGGAGAAGGTTAATAGGCCAATAGTTGAAAGAATCAGATGGTTTCCCACAAATATACCATTGTTGTAATAAATAAAAACATATGTATAATATATATAATAATATAAAAAGCAAACTTTTCTGCAATGAGCAATATTAAAAACAAAAATCAATCATGGCCAAAATCCTTGAAAGAAGATTTAAGAGTATATTATTTTATGCCTCTTGATTCCTTGGGGAACATAGGTCCACAACAACACCTCACCAATGGACACAGTTCTGGTCGATCCTCTTCAGCTTGGCCCATGCCATGTCAGCTGCCTTCATCTCTCCGTCAGCTAGGAGCTTGTTTCAGCCATCTGAAATAGAAAATTATATGATATAGGGGTAACAAGACTTTCAGACCACCCTGTAGATTGAGTACTGTTATATATGATGTCTCTACATCAAGCAGTAGCGTAAACTGATTACTGAAATATGTAAGAACATCAATAAGTTAACAGTTTAATGATGAAAAAAAAAAGCATGAATTTTATACAACAAATATTTTTCAACACAATCTCTATTCTTGTTAATGCACTTAATTCTGTGCCAAATCTGTTTTGGTCAACCCACTTTGTGCTTCCCTTGTGGATTCCAGTCAAAGGCCTGCCTGGTGACACTAGAAGCAAGCTTGCAGAGTGTGTGGCTAATCCATCCCCATTTTTGTTTCTTGATGTCAATCTTGATTGGGGCTTGTCTGGTCCTGTCCCACAGTTGGAATGACTTCTGGCCACCAGATATTAAGGATGTTCTTGAGACATCCATTGGTAAATATCTGAAGTTTATACATGTTTAAAATTGGACCTTGCAAATAATATATTCTAAAAAAATGTCAAGCTCAGATATCTCATTAAATTTGAAATTATAATAAACAGATAAATAAATATAATTTTTTTAAGAATTTTAATTATCTTTTTATTACAAATTATAAATTGTTTTGCTTGTGTTAATAAATAAATCATAAAAAGTATACTCTTTTTTTTTTTTATTTGGATCATCATAATTTAAGTTTGCCACAGAAATTTAACTTTTACTTTTAATTATTTCTGGTGGACCCCATAACCACTCAATGAAAAACGCTTATTTTGTTTTTTTAATAATAAATAAGTTCAGGATTTGTATTATAGAAATAGTAACTGTATATGCTTTATTTTAAAGTAAAACTAATTTAAAGAAAATAAATTTTTATTTAACAACTAAATTCTATGGAATTCTAAGGTCCTCAGAATGGATGGTTTTACCGAACATTGCCACTGCTGTTGAAGATTAATTTATAAGGGTAAATCAATAAGTCCATAGCCTGGTATAGATATTAGCTGAATTTTGACCTGAAGTTTTCATTTTATAATGTTTAATCAATGAATTTTCCACAGAATTAAGTGCATTAACAAGAATAGAGATTGTGTTGAAAAATATTTGTTGTATAAAATCATGCTTTTTTTTTCATCATTAACTTATTGATGTTCCTACATATTTCAGTAATCAGTTTACGCTACTGCTTGATGTAGAGACATCATATATAACAGTACTCAATCTACAGGGTGGTCTGAAAGTCTTGTTACTCCCTACATCATATAATTTTCTATTTCAGATGGCTGAAACCAGCTCCTACAGTTTGGAAGAGAGGCTGCTTGCAAGTGTATGGACACATGATCATGTGCATTCTGGCAAGAGCATGGATGATGTGTAATATGACTTTATTAATATTTCTATTGTTCTCATTACTTTTTGGTACGGGGTTACAAGACTTTTGGACCACTTTGTACCCTATCCTCAACACTGTGTTTGCTGGCTAAGTCACATCCTGCAACAACCTGATGACCATTCTACCAAAGTCATCTACCACTTTGACCTGCCATCTGCAAATTATAGGATGTTCCAATACTCTGTCAAGACCATGAGAGCTGGAGGGACAAGGTAGCTCTCGTGGACTCAATTCTTTCATGGCTGTTTGCTTAAGATCAAAAGATTGTCTTTAAAAGTATCACAAGATCAGACCAGTGCAACTCCCTCAATAGTCTTGAAGGAGCAGGACATGAAAACATGGATGACTCCGCAAGTGACAGTATTGCTGCTGGATGGATGTCATTCATAGGAGCTCCAGAAGATTAAAATTTACCATGTTTTCTGGCTTACAAGATGCACTATTTTTTCCTAAAAAATACCTTGAAAAATATGTGTGTATTTTCCAAGACGAATATAAGGTAACGCCCAGGTTTAAGTAAGCTTGAACGGTTACCTAAGTGACTTGATTGATAAGGAAATAAATTTATATGTTGAGTCATTACACTATAATGTAGCTATCTAACTTAGCCTTTTATATGATATAAACTCAGTACTTAGTTGTTACAAGCATTTCCAAGACTATAAAACTTCCTGAAGCCAATCCACAAGCTTAAAAATGCACTGTTCACTAGAAATGGTGGGAGCCTTTCTGCTCTTCACTAGTATGTCATTGCCATACAAACAAAATCTGATGAATGATTAATATAAACAATACATGGCGCCAGTATGTGAGCGATGCATGGTGAATGTGTTGTATGAGAATGATTTTTTTTTTCTTTGAAATTTCTTTCCAATATTAGGGTGCATCTTCAAAGCTGCAATGTCTTGCAAGCCAGAAAATATGGTAATCTGGTACTGGTGGATGTTCTGAAACTCTGCTCAGACCATGAGAACTGGAGTCAGAAGGTAGCTTTCATGAGCTCAATGCTTTCATCACATGAGATTAGACGAGTGCAACTCCCTTAATAGTCCTTGAAGCCATGGACCATACTACCATCATCCACCAGGACATCCAAAAGATTAAAGGATAAATCTGTCACTGGAAGATGTTCTGATACTCTGTCAAGACTTTGAGACATGGAGGGACAAGTTAGCACTCATGGGTGCAACACCTTCATGGTATGAGATTTGGCAGCTGCAGCAATCTAAACTATTAGAATATATGGGTAAATTATTGGCAATTTTGTTTTAATTTATCAAATTGACTGTTTTCATCTTTCAAGAAATATTGCTCAACATTCTTCTATGCAATCATCAATTTTGAATGATCATCTACAATTTCAGGATATTTTTAACATGCTGATTAATGTGTTCCTTCCTTGGAATGTAAAGCAATAAAGGCGATCTGTTGTTGTTGATGTAAGAATTATTACTTAGTGTATTCATATTTGATAAACTGAATGTCAATCAATGGTAAACTTAGTTTATATTATTATTATAATGCATGCTGGGATTAAATTTCAAAGGGGAGACATGGTTTTCATGTGACTCAAAAGGTTGATATTGTTTTTATTCTTTGAGTCTGTCTCACTTTTGTCCTCTGTCTCTTTCACTTTTGCTCTTTGTCTGTCATTCTTATGTTCTCTTTCTCTTGTCCTCTTTCCATCTCTCTTTCTCTTCTTCTCTTTCCATCTCTTTTTCTCTCATTGTCTTTCCTTCTTCATTTTCTTTCCTTCTCTCGTTCTCTTTTCTAATTTCCTTCTCTTTCTCTTGTTCTCTTTCCTTCTTTCTTTCTCTTTCCATCTCCCTTTCTCTCATTCTCTTGCCTTCATTCCTTCTCACTTTCTCTTGTTCTTTTTCCATCTCCTTCTCTCATTCTCTTTCCTTCTCTTTTTTCCATGTTCTCTTTCCTTCTCTCTTTCCCTTGTTCTCTTTCCATCTCTCTTTTTCTCATTCTCTTTCTATCTCTTTTTCTCTCATTCTCTTTCCTAGTTTCCTTCTATCTTTCTCATTCTCTTTCCTTTTCTTGTTCTTTCCTTCTATCTTTCATTTTTTCTTTCTCTCTTTTTTTAGTTTTATAAAATAATTTGTTGCAAAACTTTTACTTCAATATAGTACTTAATTTGTGACACTGTATATTGCAAATATTCAATTTAGCAATGAAAATATATTATTTTAAAAACTGCCATGTTAGTCATTTTTGTAAGCCTAATTTTTTTAATTCATGTCTGAGTTAAGATTGTTCAAATGATTTTATCAATACAATTTCTGATATATCCTTAAATGAACAAAATGTATACTTATGGCTTTCTGTAGGTGACATATGGCTTTCTCAAGGTTATTAGCTTAAAATAACTATCATGTTATATTTCTCTGATCGAAGCCCTGCTTATCAACACCATTACCTCTTGGCTATTTTTGGTATGCCAACAAATAACTTTTATCTATTTATCATAGTAAATAAATACATTGTCTAAAGTATTCATTTTCTATTTCTCCAAAAAGCAGTAATGATTATTGTACGATCAACTCGCTTCTTTAATTGTGATATATGATGAGAGAAAATATTCACAACTCTATACTTGATGTAGGTATTAGATTTGTCTAATATTATACACTGAAGTGACAAAAGTTATGGCATAGCCATATGTAAAGGTAATGGTTTGTGCCACCACTACACCTTGATATCATCAAAATGCAGAGACCTATATAAAATTAGACAACTACTCACAAACAATACCAAAATACTAGTAAAATCAAATAGTAAAAACAGACTTATGATCCTCGAAGCAATACTCATACAACAAAAACAACCATCAATAAATAAAAACAAGTTACAACTTAAGAGCCTGTATCCTCAAATGTATAACTTAAAAAGAAAAAAAAAATGGACGCACTTCAATGTACATTAAATAAACCATACCAATTGTGTTTGGTACCTTTTTGTTGGAGATCAAGTGATAGAGGTTAGCAGAAAAGTCAGGCAAATTCATGGACGTGTAGTTATACAGTTCAATAAATGAAAGTGTGTAGGAGTTTTTTCATTTTTTATGTGTGTACATATATGTAAATTAGTATACCACAAACACACTCACATGGAGACTTACCTGCCACCTATTGGACAATAGTACCATTAAACAATGTATTACTAAGTATCATGGTAAAATTAGACAGCTACTCACAAACAATACCAAAATACTAGTAAAATCAAATCGTAAAAACAGATTTATGATCCTTGATGCAATACTCATACAACAAAAACAACCATCAATAAATAAAAACAATTATAACTTAAGAGTCCAGATTCTGAAATAAATATAAAAAAAACACATCACACACATTACACCTTGCTTTGCCTACATCCCAATGCTCTTTGCTTACATCACAGCACTCATTAGTTCTACAAAACTCACCTACCTCTACCTACCTTGATGATGACTTAGAAAGTCGAAACATAGGTCCATATTTCTTGTACTTTTTTCATTGATTTTAATAATATTTGTTTTAGAGATCAGTTGTGGATTCCGAGATGAAATTCGGTCTCCAATGAATGACAAACGCAGGAATTAAATATAAGAAATAAAATGTATTTACACAATAATACAAAGGGTAATACTGTTAGTAAATCCAGGAACGCGGTTAGTAGCAATAACATATAGATATATACAGTCTCGAAGTAGGACTTCCTTAGAGTCTATATGCTTGTAACTGAATTCTACAAGTGGTTACCTCACACTATTACTCTACCTCCAACTCAATCACAATCTCAGTCTTCTTACTATCTCTCAATCCTGACTGACTCTGGGTATTTAATGGCAGCAGTCCAAGTAACACTTTGGTCGAGTCCACTTATATGAAAAAGGGGAGGACCCCATAACAAGATCTATATAAGTTGTGCTCTGACATCTGTGAATACTATCTAGTTTGCTCAAAGTGACATTATTTATTGAAGTTTGAATAGGGTAAGATAATGAGTGACTGACAGATGGGAGATTACATTTCTCTGAGGAAATTTGACATTCCTCAATCACCTGCACATGGGGAATACTTAATGGAAGGCATTATTACCCACCACGGACAGCACAGTGGCCAACCAAGGGTTCTGAATGATCATAACCAGAAGCTAGAATTGTTTGTGGCAACAGACACATAACACTGGTTCAGATCACATCCACATTCAATGCAGAAGGTACTAGAGGTATATTCAGTTCAACATTCCTTAGCTTACATAAGGAATGGGAACAGAAGACCCACCAGGTTGCTCCTGTTGACACCAGACACAGGACCTCATCTGAGCTTGTGACATTGCTAACTGAACTGCAACAGGACTGACAATGTTGTGTTGGCCAATGAGTTGTAGTTCCAAGCTGATGGTATACTTTAGGTGTTGTGTGAACCTTATGAATCCTAATTATCAACAAGATCCTGTGCATGCTGTTAGTGATTCCATAATGGTGTGGGTGTGTTCATGTGGTATGGGTTGGGTCTGCTGGTATGCATAAATATGCCATTGACTGGTGACTGCTACATTGCACTGCATCATGACCATTAGAATCCATTCATGTATCACAATAACCAAGGCTATCCCAGCAGGATAATGGATTGGGACATTGGGCCCAAGTTGCTCACAATTGGTTTGGGTAAAATTCTGGAGACTTGAAAAAAATTTATATTTTTGACATTATATTGTTTGCAATATATACCTATGTTTCCCACGACCATAATGTTGCTTCCCTGTACCTTTTCCTATAAATATTTTCATGATAATTGTTCTGATGAGCTTTCTTCTTTGGTACTTAGACTTTACTAATTTAAGCTTGTGGAACTCTCTTTCGGCTTCTTGCTTTCCAGTTAACTTTGATCTTCAAAAACTTAAATGTGATCTTCATCATTATCTTCTGCCTCCATCTGAGTATATTTCTGAGATGAGATATTGTAACTATTTGCATCATTCAAACTGTTGTCCACATCTTCATTGCCATATTCATGACGTTTCAGTAGTTGTATGCTCTGGCTTTCTTCAGGTGATATACATTGGAATTTCAAACTGAACCCTTTATTTAGTCCACAGGGGTGAGATATCCAAAGGCATAGCATGTGGAATTAGAAAAACCTATCGCCATAGACTAAATAAAGGTTTCAGATTGAAATTTGAACATATATCACCAGAAGAAGGCCAAAGCATACAATAGCCGAAACATCATGAATATGGTAATGATTATGAGGACAACAGTCCGAACAATATATATATATTCAGCCTCCTTGAATACTGATCTGTTCCTTTTCTATCTCCTTTATAATATTTTTCTTTTTCTCATATTCTCTCACACTCAGTAAATCTTTGTGCACTAGTGGCTTTATTGCTTTGTATGGGGTGAAATAATTAAAAATACAACTTGAAAACTTGTAACCCGATTGGATTAGAAATTGCTTTATTCTTTGATTCGCTATGTTTGTATTTTATAATATGATACTAATATGTGAATATTACGTGCATTATTATTGGATACAGTTAAGTAAAACATCAGTTTTAACAAAATCATGTTTATTTTAAATACAGCACTCTACTGAGTAGGTTAGCTTGGTTTTATAATTTTTCTCTTTCTTTTTTCAGTATTGTTGTTGTTTCTATTCAAAACTGTATCTAGCTAAGTTTTATGTTTTGGCAAGTTGCCCATTTTATATATATATATATATATATATATATATATATATATATATAATAGTACAATCTTATTAGAAGCCTGCTGTTGTATATTATTATAAATGAGATGCATCGGAAGGATCATTTTCTATTGACTGGCATGCTGATCTGATAATACAAACTGATGCTATTATAGTTATTCTAGATTGAATTAACATAATGTAATGATGGTTAAACATAATTGAATTATTTCTCACAGGTACTGTGGTATGAATCTATATTTGCTAAGCATATTTAGACACAAGCCCAGGAAGTGAAAAATAAGACAGAAAGTTTGTGCTGGGTCATTCTTTCAAGTACATTTACTTATTTTTTTAAACCATTTCACCCCAAGGAAGGTGATGATGCCACTCAGATGCAAGGGATTACTGGAAGTGAAAGGGAATGAAAAGACGTTAAGAAAGAACTGGAAACCCAAAACAGGTATATTTGATGACCCTCAAATAAGAGAACTTATGAAGGACCCAATGTTTGACAAAGCACTGAGCTAAGCTGAACTGTCCACCTGGCAGTAACTGAAATCAATAGTTACAAACATCCTGGGAAACCACTGGAGTGCAGAATACAAGAAGGAAATTGAAGTGCTATTGAAGATTTTCCGCCAACTGGAATGTCAAACTGCACTTTCTTTGGTCACACTTGGACTATTTTCCAAAGAACTGTGGAGATTTAAGTGAAGAGCAGGGTGAGTGTTTTCACCAAACAGGAAACAAGGGATGGACCTCTATTCCTATTCTAAAAACAGGAAGCAGTGTGGGCAAGAGGGAGAGAGGAAAATAGTGAGTAACCTTTTGTAAATGAATGCTAAATCAGGGAGTGAGAAGGGGAGAAAAAAAAGAAAAGAAAGCTACATTTAAGAGATACAAAGGATGAAAATACATGGAGAGTCATGATTGGCCACACCCTGAAAGGTTATAAGTCATACAAATAAAGTTTACTTAAAAATAATATATTTTTTTTTTACCTTGGCTTGAAAACCAAACATTGAAGTGAAAAATATGAAATAGACATTTAAATTGATATGAGTATATTTTTTATCTATTTATATGTACAGGGTGCAATGGATAAATTGTGATCTAAATTATGCAAAAATGACATCTCATTTTAACAGATATATTTACCAAAGTTACACAAAAATATTTTGAAATACTAAAGAGTAAATTTATTCAATAAAATTGCCATTGGCTTCAACCACAACCTCTAGATGACTTCAGAATCTCCTGCAACTCTTGTGGACAGTCTCCTAGTATAAATTGGAGAATGTTGCTGTAGTCTGTGCCTTCAGTTCATCATTGTTGTTGCAAGGAGTTTTGTTGTCACTCAACTGCACTCCACACATAATAATCAAAGGGATTGCAGTCTGGGGAGTTAGGTGGCCAGAT